GCTTCCTTAGTGTTTCACTATGTGCAGAGCGTCCCTGGGCAGGAGGGCAGAGATGTCCCCAGTGAAATCCATCAGGGCCCCGCAGCTAGGAAGGCAGTGCAAGGGATCCTGGGGTCCTAGGCACGCACTGATGGTGGAAGCCAGCCTCCAAGGGGGCCCCCCCCCAGCCACTCACTTTCTCCTCCCCTTCTATGTAGGCAAATGCCACATAAAGTGATAATTTAACAATTTTACTAGTTAGGCCAAAATTAAACTCCAAAGGATAGCAGTCACATTTCCGGTCCAGATGACTCTGCCTATAGCCTGGTCCTGACTCCCCACCCTCCCAGGTCTCTGAATCAGCAAGGTCACAAAAACACATTTACATTTTTTTATTTTATTTTTTTTGGAGAGGTTTTTTTTTGGGGGGGGGGGTTTAACTATAGGGTGTATGCACTTGCCAGAAAGAGAAAGCAAGAAATCGCCCCCCGAAGGGGGGATGGCCACACCGCAATCCCTTCTCCTCCATTCTCCTCACGGGATCTTGGGCACGCATGCTCACATGCCCAGCGTGAATTTAAGCCACCAGATCTGAGACTCAAACCATGGTCGACTACATGGGAGTCCAGTGACATAGCCATTACTCCAACTGCTGGTCTTCATTTTTTTCTTTTTCCTTATTATATGGGACTGACAGATTTGAACAAGGACTAAACACTTGCATTGATTGGGGGAAAAAATCATCTTAATTCCTAATATCAGACATTATAGGCCTTACCCCTAAGGTTGAGCAAAGAAAAATCACTTGGTTTTTAAAAAAAATCAGCAGTTCAAAAAGAGTTACTACACTGAAGATTTTTCAGAAATGACAACAAAGATTAAAAATCTAGAGATGCAGGACTAGAAGGTGGTATAGTGGTTAAGGCACTGGACTGCCATGTGACCAACTACAGTTCAAGTCCTGGACCCAGCAGCTTGAAACTCACACCAGACGTGTGTACGTGTGTGCCCAAAATCCTGAGAGGAGAACGGAGAAGAGACTGTGGCATGGCCATCTCCCCAGGGCGTGATTTCTTGCTTTCCATCTCCCCATCTCTCTGTCTCTCCAGGGAGCACATGTATCCTATAGCAAAAATCTCTTTAAAAATAACATGAGAAAAAACATCTCATGTAAATACAAATAAAAAGAAATGACAGCATTACTATTAAATGAAGTCAAATTCAGATTAAAAGATAGGAAATGAGATCAAAGCGATTCTTCCATGTTGGTAAAAGGTAGATCCCACGGTGAACCAATAGTCGTCACACCCCCTTCAGCGTCAAGTAAGAGAACACTGAAATATACAGAGAAGAAACTCAGCTATAGTGTGACAGTTTGACAAAACTGCATTAGTATGGAGAAAATTGTGTACCTCTTTCTTAGGTTTTGACAGATCAAGAGGAAAAATGACTGAAGATGAAAGGAATCAAGCAGTATTATCAGTATGCTTGATTTAATGAGCTTGTCAGGCTTTACGTCCCACAGAGAATAGACCTTGTTCAGTGTCCATAAATCATTGGCAAAAATGGTACAAATAAGACCTCTGTAAGTTTCATAGGGTCATAATTTTAAAAAACAATATTACTTATGATTCAGATTTAAAATGTGAAGCTTGTCCACAAAATATGGGTGAATAATATGATCTTAGGAATAGGGAATGGAACCTTTTGAAATAAAAATTAGAAATTTTTAAAGAAATTGAGAGGTGAATTATAAGCTGGAAAAAAATGGCAACACATAATTTTTTTTTTTTTTTTTTGGAGAGATTTTCACTGTAGGGCACGTGCGCTCGCCAGACGTGCGGCCTATAGCAAAAACCTCTCTCAAAAAAAAAAAAAAAGAAGCTGCCAATCTGGGTATTTATTTTATTCCTTCTTCTCTCAACATTTTATTATACAATGTTCAAGCATACAGAAAACAGGAAAGAATTATGCAATGTACATCTGTATGTGATCTGATCATTTCTAGCATTTTAACATTGCAAGTTTTAAAAACCAAATGATCAGCCAATAAGAACTTTTTGGCTTAAGTAAATGGTTTTTTCCTTTTGTGAAGGCTTTTTTTTTTTTTGGCCATAGTGCATGTGCGCTCACCATAGAGAGAGAGACTGATGGAGAGAAAGTGAGAAATCACCTCCCAGGGGATGGCCACCCTGCAGCCCTATCTCAGTTATCCTATTGGAATTTGGGGCACTCACACACATATGCCCAGAGTGAGTTTCAAGTTGCCAGATCTGGGACTCAAACCGCAGTCTGCCATGTGGGAGTCCAGTGCCAGAACCACACCACCACCTGCTGGCCCTGTAAATGGCTTTTTCTAAGTGATGTAGTAAGTGAAAGAGAGATTAAAAATCCTTTACAAATATTTTTTCCACACAGAAGTTGAACTCTGGTAAAGTTAAAGTGTCCAAGGTATCACACTCACACACACACACCATGGGTTACAGGAGGGTCATTGGTAGGAAAAACTCAGACCCATGCCCTTGTCCTGGTGGAGTTCCCAGGTTTTGGCAGCAGTGTGGCAGGAGGTCCCATGGAGGCAACCAGCAGCAGCTGCCCTGGAGGTGAGATCCTGGCTTAGGGGCGAAGGTGCCACCCTGGTGCCAGTCTCAGTGGGCCTGGACTACAGACTGGTCAAGGCAGCTCCCACCCTGGGGTAGCAGGCTCTGGGAGCCTCCATTTGTGCTTCCTCTGATGGGCAGGAGCTGCTGTGGCAGAGCACGGGAAATGCCTACTGGAGTAAAGGCAGCCCCTCTGAGAGTGTGGCCTTACCTGAGCCTCATGTGGCCACCTTGGGCCAACTCAAAAGTGATTGTGGCCAGGCCATTGCCCAAATCAAACACAAAAGCTGATGTTGCTGAGCCTGGTATTTCATCTGCCTGACTTTTCTTTCTTTCTTTCTTTCTTTTTTTTCTTTTTCAGTTTTTGCTACTAGGGTATGTGCACTTTGCCAGAGACAGAGAGAGGGAAAATGAGAAATTATCTCCCTCCATCTTGGGGGGTGGCTGTGCTGTAGTCCCTTCTATAGTTTCCTCTTGGGGTTCTGAGCATGCACGCACACACACATGCACAAGGTGCCTGACACCGTCCTCAAGCCTCCAGGTCCAGGGCTCAACCCATACACTTGACCATGTGAGAACCAGAACCTTAGCTTCCATGGTGGCACATCTGCCTGATTTCTTTCTTTCTTTTTTCTTTCTTTTTTCTTTTTGAGAGGTTTTTGCTATAGGGACTGTGCAGTCACCAAAAAAGACAGAGAGAGACAGAGACATAGAAAACGAGAAATCACCCCCCAAGGTGGATGGCCATGCTGTAATCCCTTCTCCATTCTCCTCTTGGGATCTTGGGCACACACGTACACGTGCCTGGCGTGAATTTAAGCCACCAGGTCCAGGACTTGAACCACAGTCAACTACCTGGAAGTCCAACGACATAACCATTATGCCAACTTCTGGTCCCGAATCTGCCTGATTTTTAACACCCCTTTCTTCTTTTTCTCTTCTGCATCCTAATTTTGCTTCCATGTCCTGGTTCTTGTCCTATCTTCCTGCCTCTCAGCCCCCCTCTCCCTTCTCCCTGTCCTGTGTCCATGTTCACGTTCCAGCCACTCACAGTTTTTCTGAATTCTAACATAGCTTCTCTTTTTCTCTGCGTTAAGTCTCCCACCCTGAGAGAATCACTGGTCATATTTTAGGGCCTGTTCTCCCATGCATCTTTCTCTGCAAAGCTACATAAATACATACTTGTGTGCAAATAGGACCATCTCATGTATGCGTGCTTATGGACCTTTTTAAGAACAATTCTTGTTCTCTCTGCTTGGAATCCTCTTTTTCCTCACATGCATTTGGCAAATAGCCCAGTTGTCTCTGCCCTTTCTCAGCAGCCCAAGGGAAAGATCCCAATTCTGGTCCCCATCAATCTTTGGACATGCCTTTACTGTAGCACTGACATCACTGCGTAAGTGCCTGCCTTCTCCCTGGCTAGAGAGTGTTTTAGGGGCTGGGCCACCCAGCACCAGCCCCTGCCCCCAGAGCAGCCCCCCACCCAGCAGGGGCTCAGTAAATCAGGGTTCAACTAACAAGTGACTGTTGGTCAGCCTCTGTGTCCAGCGTGGTGATTCTCCTGCCTCTCCCCCTCCACCTGGAGTGTCTCCTGAGGCACCAACCTCGGCTTCTTACTTGTTTTTATTTCTGATTCATTTTATTTCATTTTCATCTGTTTTTTTTTTTTTTTTTTTTTTTTTTAAGAAGCAAGGTCTCACTATGTCACAGTCCTCCCACCTCAGACTCTTAGCTGGGACCGGGGTGTGCGCCACAGTCCCCAGCTCTTCTTTTGACGGGGTCTTCCCTGGCTTCCTGCTTACTCAGTCTGCAGAAGTCCTGCCTGCTTGACTGGACTCAGCTCCCAGGCCTCAGGGGGCTCCTCAGGTAGCTCTTCAGCCTCACCCGATTGCACCTTTTCAGAATTCTCATTGGCCTTGGTCAATACCAGTTGACCTGAGGCATAATTGATTTCTGTTTACTGTGTTTCCTTCCCATTGAGACCATAATCTTCCTGACACCGTTGTGCGTATGATGCCTGTTATGGGCCAGGTCACCCAAAAGGGGTGAGCGTTTCTGGAGCAGGTTCTGCTTTCTTTAGGGCTTTCTGTTCCTTTCCAGGGGATGAATTGCCTGAGCTGGACAACATGGCTGACAACTGGCTGGGCTCAATTGCCAGAGCCACAATGCAGACCTACTGCGACGTGATCCTCCAGATCCCGGAGCTGACCCCACACTCCACCAAGCAGCTGGCCACTGACATCGGTGGGTCCCGAGGACGGGTGGTGGCGGGCAGCTCTTGTTCACTGCATCTGTCAGTTCCCTCCTTGCCCTCCAGGAAGCTCATCCCACATCTCCCCTCAGCTTCCTCTCTGGGTTTGGCTGTGAAGCTGGTTAAGAATACAGATTCTCAGGGCCAGCAGAGGATGCTGCGGGACTCCACATGGCTGACCACGGCAGCTTGAAACGCATGCCAGGAGTGTGTGCGTGTGTGCCCAAACTTCTGAGAGGAGAATAGAGGAGAAGGGATTGTGGTGTGGCCATTGCCCTGGAAGGTGATTTCTCACTTTCTGTCTCTCTCTCTCTGTAAGCACATGCACCCTATAGCAAAAGTCTCTCAAAAAAAGAAAAAAAAAAAACAGATTCTCCAAGCTCCACCCCTGGAGAGTCTGACTTAAGAAGATTGAAACCCAGACACCCATCATATTTTGAAAAGTGTCCTGGAAGATTCCAATAAGCTGCTGAGGTTGAGAACCATTAAAGGGAGCGTCAGGGCAATGAGTTGACATGAGTAATGTACCTGGTGCTGCTCGGCCTTCTCCATTTACATACTAATTACTAAATAACGTTTAGTAAGCCCTTACTACATGCCAGGCATGACAGACGTGCCCCTCTAGACATTGTGACACCTCAGACATGTGGACCAGGCGCTCCTCCCCGCCTCTTACTCAGTCCCCAACCTCCCTGCGAGGTCAGTGGTTTTTTCTCCATCATACTAATAAGGAAGCTGAGGTAAAGGACAGTTGCAAAGCCAGAGGACCTAGCCATGTCGTCTCTGTCACCACAGCTGGCTGCATCTGAGGCCAAGGGCTCGTCCCCATTCCTGCCTGCACTCAGCACTCTGGGTCCTCGGGGCCCTGGTGGTACTCTGAGCCCAGGGACGCTGCCGCGGGTGGCAGGGGAGTCTCCCCAGTCTCTTAATATCAGTCCATCCATTTGCCTGTTCTTTAGCCCAGGGCAGCTCGTGAGGTAGCAGGAGACAAGGAAGTAGGGCCCCAGCTGCCTGGGACCCAGCCAGAGCTTTGACCTGGGTGGCCATAGGGCTGATCCAGGTTCAACTCCTACCTCTTACTTTGTAGAACTATTAGGTCATCAAGAAAATCATGACATATATTTTTCTATGCAAAAACCATCATGACTTTTGCAATGACCCAGTAGAAATGCGGGTCTTTCCTCTGGGCCCCAGAGTGCTTAGTGATGGGTCCAGGCCTGGAATCCAGCTGGCTGCTTTCCTGACCCCCGGTCACTTCATTGTCAGCTCTCAGCAGTTACCAGAGAGTGGCCAGCTGCTGGCAGTTTCCTAGGGCACAGTGCTTAGAGAAGAGATGAAGTTGAGTGCTTGTTAGTCTAGATGGGGCACACCTGGGACCAGAGAGGGCCGTGAGACTCGGGGATTACTATAGATTTTCAGCTGCCCATGCTCGTTCTCCCTCCCTGTCCAGTCCCCCCACACCCCCACTCATTTGTTGGCTCACACAGCATTGATGGAGCATCTAAAGTGTGCCAGCCACGGTGCCAGGAGGTGGATACCACCGAGACTCAGTTCCGGTGCGTATTGAGCTTAGACAGTAAGAGTGAGTTTAGGGGCCGGAGGTTACGGCTGGTGTGTGAATTTGCCATGGTGTAAGATGATAGAGTCGTGAGGTCTGGGGCGATACACCCCCCGAAAGATATTCGAATGAAGCATTAATACAAACAGCACAAAAAACGCTGCTGGCCAAATGAAAATGTCATGGCAGGCTCCCAGTTCTCAGCTCCTTGCCCCACAGCTGAGTGGAGCTCACCAGTTCGTGGAGATGCGTGTGAAGGAGCAGGAACCTACTGACGGATGGCACCTTCCTGGGAAGCAGCTCACCCTGAGCTGGACGTGATTCAGCCAGCCAGACGTGCAGGCTCTCCCGGGGCCCCGCCCTGAGCTGCCCTCAAAAAGAGGGCGCAGGGAAGATGCAGGCCTTGCCCGGAGTCCTGTCTAGTCAGGAGGAAGAGATGAGCCCACGGGCTCAGAAAGTGACAATGGAAAGACATCCTGGGTGTGCTGTTCTCCGGCCCTTCAGAGCAGGAAGCAGGAGGTCTGGAGATGGCCGTGGAATGTTCCCCTTAGGTTTGGGTCATGCCTGCCCAGGAAGGAGGAAGGAAGGCAGCTCCTGCTTATTGATCACCTGAGACACACCAGGTCCTACCGTGTCCTTTGCCCCATTTAATCCCCTTAGCCATGCTGCCTGATGGGTAGTAACTGCATCATCAGGTGGAAGCAGACTCGGGGAGGTGGTAGGATGTGACAAGGTCACACCTGGCTGCACCGTTTCCCCCTCCTTCCGGTATCACTCAAGCTGGCCAGGTGCTTGGTCACTGTGGCTACTATTGAAAGTGACAGAACCTAGGAATCCCTTCTCAAAAGGTCTCAGTCTGAGGGTGGGCTCAGAAAGCTGTTTTCCTAGCACCCTAAGGAGTTACCTGGGACGTGCAGGAACCTACAGCATACCAGGCCATAGCCTCAGACATTGTCCTCATCTTCATGTGTGGCTCTCACAGAAGGCCCCTGGGGGCTGCTCAGAAAGCTCATGTGTCTCCTGACCCTTTGGGTTCTCCACCTAGTCAGTGGGATGCTTGGGGCCAGGGCAGGGCTGGGAAAACTGGAGTTTTAGATGAAGTCAGCCGTTCCTCCAGACTTGCGCTGGAGAGGTACGTGTGTGAGAGCATGTGTGTGCACTTGTGTGTGCATGCATGCGTGCGTGTGGTGAAGTTGGTTCGTCTTTTACTACATTAATTAGCATTCCTGGAAAAACCCTCTGAGTGATGGCCTGCCTGTCAGAGTAGAGTGGGCTCCCAGCACTTGGGAACTTGGGGGGCTTCTCTGTTTCTGACTCAGAAGGCCTCTCAGGGCTCTGCCCATCCGGTGCTTAGTCTGTGGAGCTGTGTCTGTCTTCCCCTCCGCCACAGACTATCTGATCAACGTGATGGATGCCCTGGGCCTGCAGCCATCCCGCACCCTGCAGAGCATCGTGACGCTCTTGAAGACCAAGCCTGAGGACTACAGACAGGCCAGCAAAGGCCTGCCGCGGCGCCTCACCACCACGGTGGCCACCATGCGGGGGGTGAGTTACTGACCCCTCCTACCCGTCTGAGCTGTCACGGCAACTTTCCAGCATGATTTGCTGGAAAAATCTGCCCTGCCCTAAATTGGGCAGAATTGTTTTAAAAAGACTTGGTTCATTTGTATAATCAAAAAAAGGTTGTAAATCCGAGAAGTATGTTATTTATAAGAGGACTTTTCAGGTGATTTTTTTTTTATATGATCTGATCTTGAAGATGGAAGTAATAAACACCATGAAATGAAAGAAGGCTGCTTTCTTTCCTTCTTCAGTGATGGTTGGAAGGTCTCCCAAGCCGTGGGGTGCTGTTCGCCCTGGGGTATGGCCAGGTGTGGCTGTGAGGAGACCCCCCCTTTTGTAGCTTCCACCCAGTGTGAAGGGGGGAGGGAATATGAAGGTGAACCAGGAAGGTCATTCGGCTCCTAGTACTGGGGAGAAAGGCATCGTAGTGGAAGACAGCGTTGATGGGGGTGGGCAGCCCTGGGGCCCATGGGTGAGAAAGGTGCTGCCAGGGTTTGGGATGGGGGTAGACTGGCACAGGCCAGGCCCCGAGGCAGGTCCAGGAGCTGCCAGGGTACAGGAGAGGAGGGCTGACACGGAGGAAGTAGAAAACAGGTTGGAGAGGAATTGGGGCCAGCTCATACAGGATCTCATAGGCCATGGATTTGGGTTTTTAGGTTTTCCTCTATTTAAAATTTATGTGATGGGGACCAGCAGGTAACATAATGGTTATGTTGCTGGACTCCCACATGGCCACCTCAGTTCAAGTCCCATGGCTTCAAGCTCACACTGGGTGTGTGTGAATACATACCCAAAATCCCAAGAGGAGAATGGAGGAGAAGGGATTGCTGCATGGCCATCCCCCCAACCCCTGAGGGAATATGAAATTCCCCCAATGGGGAGAGAATTTCTTTCTATCTCTGTCTCTCCAGTGAGCACACACCCTATAACAAAAATCTCTCTGAAAAAAGTTACAGGATAGTCTGGCCATGTAGCACAGCAGATAAGGGAGCAAGGTCCCACATGGCTGGCCACAGTGCAAATTCCAGCCCCAGCACCTTGAAAATAATGCCGGGTTCATGTGCGTGTGTGCTCGAAATCCTGATGGGAAGCAGGAGTGGAGGAAGGATTGCAGCGTGACCCTGCCCTAGCGGGTGGTTCTCTCTCTAGCTCTCTGGCAACTGTACATGTCCTCTGGCAATAAAAAAATAATGTGTGGAATGATGTGAATTTCATTCACCTTTTTGTCAATAGCTTTTGTATCTGTTAAGATTTTATTTGGCTGTAACAGAGTGATGTAATTTGAGAGATTTGAACAAATAGTGATTACTTTTTCTCAGTAACAAGAAGTCCGAGGGTAATGGCTCCAGGTGCCGATTTAGTGGCGGGATGGAGTCAGGACCCGGACTGGCCTGTCTGTAATCTTACTGTTTTCCTTCGCTGTCACGAGTGCCGTCATGCACAGGGAGCCGTGGTAGGGCAGCCATTCGGTCCCTTCTACCTGATGAGCAGCAGCCTTCCAGGAGCTCCCAGCCCACTCTCTCAGCCTCGCTGGTCTGTTGGGCACCAGGTGTCCCCCTCTTCTAGAGAGGCCAGGCAAGTGGGAACAGCACTGGCCTCAGCAATCTCAGCCCGGTGCCTCCGTGCTTTGGGCAGAACAGCTGTTACTGGGAGGTGGGCCTGGGATTGCCCGGTCTTGAGCATCCTGACCTCCACCCACTGGCGCCTGTGGCAACCCAAAGGGCTCCAGACATTGCCTGAGGGGCACACAGTAAGAAACACTTAGCCCGCTATGGTTTAGTGCCTGGACTGGGCTGGGCTCAGTGCTGCCCTGAACAAAACTGAGTTTCTGTGAGGAGGAGGCCGGGGATGGCAACGGTGTCTGTCCCAGGACTGAGCACTTCCTGGGCTCAGGGGCTGGGCTAAGATTTGCTCCGCCCTTGACTATCTCACTTCAGCTTTGCCATAGCCTGGGGAGGCTGGGGGTTTTATCTGCACTTTGGAGAGGTTTAAGGGACCTTCCTGGATCACTCAGCTCCTGTGTCAGGCTGGGGTACAGAGCGAGCCCGGTGACTGTGGCACCCCGCGATGCGAGGCATGGAGGCACGCTGTGGGATACCTACCCAAGCTGGTGAGCCGCCCGGGGCCAGCCTCCTGGAGGGTGTGCTCCACCAGCTGCTGGGGCACAAGTTCCCCTGGGTCTGTCTTCACAGGGGTTCCCACATACTCTGTCCACACTTCCTCAGAACCAGTCTGGCTGGCCCCAACAGCATCAGCTGCAAACCCGCACTAGGACAAGTATCTTGGTTTCTCATGTGGCGGATCACAGACTGATCCTGGCAGGAGCCAAGCCTGGCTCCCGCCTTGAACGAGTGCGAGATGGAACCGAGGAGCGACGTGCTGCTCTCAAGTGGAGGCGCCAGTGACATGCACGCTGGTGTCCCTGAGAGCCGCTCAGCTTCGGAGGGGACCATCAGCTTAGCTCCCACTTTCTGGCTTTGCCACCTCCCAGCTATGCGACCTTGGGAGTCATTTCACTTCTTGGAGCCTCATTTCCTAATCTGAAAACCAGGGGTCACAGGTACCTAGCCCCTAGGGTATTTGAAGAGCCCGTGAGATATGGCGGAGGCAGTGCACAAAGCGAGTTCGTCCTTAACGTCCAGTCCTCAAGGCATCCGGAACCTGCCTTACCTTTGGGGTAGAGGTGGGAATTAGAGAAGGCCATTCTCTAGGCAGTCCGAGCATTGCTAGCCCATGCTTTCGGCTCCAAAAAGCTCTCAAAGGGGCCTGGGCAGGGAAAGGACAATGTCTTTCTCTTCTAGATCCAGGGAGAGGACGCCAGGCTGCCTGACTCCACCTGCCGTAGCCCGATGGCTGTTGCCTCATGGGCTGTCACTCCCTGCTCCCTCAAGAGCAAGGATGGCAGCTGATGGCAGGTCCCAGTCAGGTCCCAGTCTCACATCTCCAGGCAACTCTGAGCAGACCCTGTCGTAGGTGTCTGTAAGGGACTGATTCATTCGGGGCTCTGGTCGGCCCCTGTCTCACCACAGTGGTGAGCTTGGCAGGAGCGTGTGTCCCCAGGCTGATGGAAAGGAGCCTAGGTTGTAAAGGAAGCTCCAACCAGCTGGCAGCAGGAGCTGGTAATGCCCCGCAGCTTCCCATGAGGCAAGTAGGAAAGCTCCAGGAAGCTCCAGAAAGCTCCGGGCTCCT